ATGGTGAAAACCTCTCAAAAAAAAAAAAAAAAGAATTTTTAGATGATTGTTTAACAGATATTTTCCTAATTATCTATCCCTTTGTGCATTTTAACTTCAGAGATTAAAGCTACATATCTAGTAGGAATTGAAGTTTTCTACTTTAGATCCTGACCATAAGCTTGTTTGACTCTCTTTTTAGTGATTCCAATTTTCTTTTTCCTTCTCTAAAAATTTTCTATCTTCTATTTTTTCATGTTCTCTCCTAAATCAGTGCATGGTCCAGCAAGTCTCTTCTTTTTTGATAATAGAGACAATTCTGTATGGTTCTAGTGAATGAAACTGTAGCTTTAAACTTTTGATTAAGATTAATAATTTTGAATGAAGTTATTAGTAAAGTTCATGTATTAACTCCTAAATTCAGCTCCAGAACAAACATTCCAACCAGGATCCGTGGAGTTCTGGCTTTACCAGAAAAAAAATGCAAATATTATTTAATGTTTCCCTTATAGTATTGATCTAAGTTCAACTCTTTGTGTCATTGAAGAGATCAAGGTAAACATCCAAGAAAGTAATAACTTCCTTTGTCCATGAACAAATTTGTAATGCCCCTTCAATATTCCATGAAAGCCTTTTCTTTTAACTTCAACAGTTTTTCTGCCACTCTTTTTCTTGTCTCTTATTACCTGCTATCCCTCCTTCAAGCCCATGAAACTCTATTTTTATACTTGTGTAAAAAAAGTTCTTGCCAAAATGTGAAACTGTCTAGGATTTCTACTTAGTGTTGAAACGAATATCAGAGCTGCTCCTTCCTCTAGCAACCAACTACTGTGTTGTCTTATGATTCTGTTCAAGAAACTTCAAAAGGCTTATAAAAACAGTCACATGAGAGGAGAGAGATCAATATGCTCTCTTCAAAACAATTATAACATTCTAGATTTTTTTCTTGAAAGAGATTTTTGCTATAGGGTGCTGTTTGTCAGAGGGTCAGAAACAGAAAGAAAGTGAGAGATCACCCTCCAGGGGTGTTGGCTATGCTGCAGTCCTTTCTCTTCTGGTCTCCTCTTAGGATTGTGGACACAGACACACACACACACACACACACACACACACACACACACACTCACTCACTCACAGCATCCAGCATGAGTTTTAAGCTGCCGGGTTCAGGACTTGAACCGTAGTTGCCTATGTGGGAGTCCAGCGACGTAACCATTACTCCATCAGCTGGCCCTGAAAGATTCTTTTAATAAAATAATATTATAGAAGATATGAGCTACAAGAAACTTTTTAAGCAAAAGAAGTTTAAATTCTACCAAATTTAATCCTATAATGCCAAAAAAAAAATTCTTGCATTCATTGAAATTTTGCACACCAAAAAGAAGGAAATATTCAGGCTTTTAGAAATATTCAAACTTTGTGTTCTTTTTATGTTTACATGTAAATAATAGAAAAGACAAAGTTGAATAAAATCAATTTAGTATTAATTGTAATGGTTTTCATTTTAGCTTTTGATGAGATAAACCTTAAAATAGAGTAACTATTGGACCAGCAGTTAGTGTAATGGCTATGTCACTGAACTCCCATGTAGTCAACTGTGGTTCAAGTCCCAGACCCGGTGGCTTAAACTCACACTGGGCACATGTGTGAGGATGCCCAAGATCCCAAGAGGAGAAGGGAGGAGGAGGGATTGCATGGCTATCCCCCTGAGGGGTGATTTCTCACTTTCTATCTCTCTGTCTCTGTCTGTCTTTCTGGTGAGTGCACATGCCCTATAGCAAAAAACTCTCAAAAAAAAAAAAAATAGAGTAACTTGTGGGCCAGCCCCATGGCCTGATGGTTAAAGTGGTTGGCTCCCACATGACCCACTGTGTATTTCAAGTATGTATTTCAAGATTAATGGCCCACTGTATATTTTCTCCTTAAAAAAAAAAAAAAAAAAAAAAAAAAAAACAGGAGAAAAAGCATGCTCAATGGGAAATAGTCGGTCTGCAATTTCTCTCCCTCCTTTCAGGATTTTGGGCATACACATACACACATACGGTTTTTGTCAAGTTACCAGATCCAACACTCTGAACTATGTAGTTGGCCAGGTGGTGACCAACTGTCTTAACCACCAGGCCACAGGCTCATCCAGAGATCTCTTCTTTCATAATAAAAGTGTTAACCTACTGCAGAATGATCCTATCTCAGCAATAGAATTCTTGGGAAAAAAATTCCACAATAATGAAATAATGAAATGGCTTTCATTGCAGGAGGTTTTTCCTCACCACGCTAATAAATAGATGAAAGATTTTGCCTTCTATGTTGTGATAGATAAAATAAATATCTTTAACTTAAAGTGGGAAATGAATTAGGAAATTGATGTGCTTTGTAAATAGTGTCCTTACAGTATATGATCTTCTCAAACACTTCTCAGGGAGTGAAGAAAGGTTCTTTTTCTGTTAAACCGGAAGTTTTAACTGACTTATTAGAGTTTGCACTTTATAATGTGACTGCAAAAATTTTTTAATGGTAAGGCTTCCTGGAAATTATAAAGATCTTTTAAAAATCTTTAAAGATCTTTTTTATGTGATCAAGAATTTGTAAGTGCACGTTCTTGAAGAAATCAAAGCCACTGGCATATTGTTACCAATTGCAAATTGATTATCCTAAAATATTTGCATAAATAGTGGGCAACACGGAGTCATTGAAGAGGACAGGACAATTGCTATAATTTCTGCAGGAGCCAGGTTTTGTAGGAATGACATGCAGTTTCTAGGTATCAAGCAAAATAGTTATACGATTCTTACTAATAAAGCTGGGAGTCAATTTGAAGGTTTATCTTTTATTCATCTGCACAGTTTCTAATGTAAAATTTGAAGTGTTATTTTGTAAATGATTTAATTTTGAAATCTTTCTTTTTGTTGTTTTAAAGTTTGTGTAATCACAGAGGATTGGAAGGGGAGCTGTTTAATAATGGATGTGTCTTGGGAACTCAACAACTTCCCAAATTGTGAAACTTTATTATTTGTCCCTGATTTGAACATATATTACCGTTCTGTGTGTATACATTTTGTGTCTAAGACTGTTATCCCTTCTGTAAAAGTCCAGTTCTTTCCCCGTCTGTCCCTCTCTATCTCCCTCTTGTGAGCACATGCACCCTATGACAAAAATCTTAATATATATATACACAAAGAGCAATACTTTTCCTTTATGAAAAGAATGTAAAATTTATGACCCCATTGCCTTACCCTAGAGTATTACTCTAGCATTTAAATATAAGTTTATTTAGATAAATTTATTAGACTAAAACTTATGAGGTATATACTTATTTTCTAGAAATAAAGCAATACTGGTTTCTATTTCTTAGTTCTATATAAATCCATTGAATTAAAGGATATTGGTAATCAGAGATACTTATTCTATTCTAATTCTCATGTTTCACAGAATACAAAACAGAAGTCTTCACATTACTGTTCACGTGACTGTTATTCTTTAATGATTCATCTGAAAGTCAGAGTCTATACGCTCTGTTTAATGAGTCGCTTTTCTACAAAATATAAAATTTTATATAATTTAGTCTTTCATTTTTTTAAATTTTTATGGCATAACATGAAAATGTTCATTTAATTTTAAAAATGCCTTGCATGCCAAGATTGCTTTATCACATTAGAATTGAAATTTGAGGCTTCTTAACCTTTACAATATTTTTTATTAAATAATTTCATGCAAATAAAGTGTTTTATTAATATGTGACTGAACATAGGTCCTATACTACATCATATTTGGAAAGTTATAGTACCTTTTCATTGTATTTTTTGTTGTCTCTTATAACTGAGAAATTATTTTGAAAATCATACTGAAAACCTGGTGTGGTTTTTTTGTTTGTTTTTGTTTTTGTTTTTTTGCTTTTTGTTTTTTTGCTATAGGATATGTACTCTTTCCAGAGAGAAACAGAGAGAGAAAGTGAGAAGTCACCCCTCAAGGAAAGGGATGGTAATGCTGCAATCCCTTGTCTGCCATTCTTCTCTTGGGATTTTGGGCACATACATGTGTGTACATGACCAATGTGATTTTTTAAGCCACCACTTCTAAGACTCAAACCACAAGTCAATCAGCAAGTTAACACCACACCACCTGCTGACCCTAAAAGCCAAGGGAAAATAGAATATACTTCTCTAACTTTAATTTTTATAGCTAATATCAAGGATCATAATAAAATATTAACTTTAATATCAACTTGGGAATCTTAAAAATAACATGAGAGTTGGGACCAGCAGTTAGCGTAA